AGTCAAATGACGGGACATTTTGTGGCAGGACATTGAACAGTAGAGGCAGAAGTGTCTCTTGCTGTATACTCGCCCCCCATTTTTCTTCTTTTGCAGCTGCATGATAACAATCTTATTTGCCTTTGGTTCGTCACTTTCCGAGTCTTGAAGAAAAGTGTTTTTGATTTTTCTTTTTCCATACTTTTTTACAGGTTTCTTCTTGACAGTTAAATCGTCAGAATCTGAGTCGACTTCATCAATTAGGGACTCTTGACTAAGCTGCACAAACAACAAATAATTTGTAATCATTCTATATAACAATTTGAAGTCATGACTTGTAGTCAGCACTTACCAGTGGTTTGTAAGCGTGCGCTTCAGTGTGCTCCTCCATGATTTCTTGCAGCCTAATGAACCACACACTTGCACCTTTTTCTAGCCTGACACCTGATTTCCTCTGTTGTGCTGCTCCATGATTGGCTCCAGCCTGCTGGACTGAAATTGCCCCAGTGTGCCCCTCCTTGATATCCCGCAACCCACCACCAGGGTTCCGACACATAACACACTTTTTTCAGGAAAGTAAACCTCCAGGGGTCCTTTCCATATTTTTACAGAGACTGCATAAGGACCGTTAGAAAAGCATTACCCATTGATTATTAAGCTTGGACCAGTGGGGTCCGGTGTTCGGGCCCCACCACGTAAAACCAGTCCCCATGACGTGAGTGGAATCTCAGGTTATGGAACCCACCAGGAGTTGAAAACAAGTGCACACACACCCACACGCACACGCACACGCACACATACACGTTTTTGTTACCTGGTGGGTCCCTTTGACAGGGCCGTTCAGAATGGGACCCATAGACATAATCTTTTTTTATCAAGACTTTAAGTAATACAAAACAGTCAATAGAAACCAAACAACTATTTTAAAGGAATTTTATTTTAGATTTTGTTTTCGAATTGCAGTGATTCTATTTTTGACATAGAATTTAATGCCACTCCATGTCCGATGTCTAAGGTCATCTGGTGAGGCATTAATGCAGGCCAGGCAGTGAGACTTCCCAGGGACCTTTCCAGTCTGTATGAAAGGTGTCATGGTCTTCTCCACAGCCTTCACCTCAGATGCAGACCATGGCTTTCTTACACGTTCTAGGGAGAGAAATAAAAATATATTAGCAATATACACTCCCAGGGTGAGGACCAAGCAGCCTGGCTGTAATCCCCCACCTGGTACACTTACCAGAAGGGGCACTGCCACTACCATGGGGTGCATCTGGATGAATGGTTGAAGGTTCTCCGCTTGAAGTTTCTTTTAGCCCGTCCGTTTGTGAGAGGATCTCTACTGCTCTCCCTGTCGCACAGAAAATAAAAATACAAGTGGCCTTTAGGGGAAAAAAATCATACATATTTTAATAATATCAAGAATTACCTTCAGGCTCAATTTGTATCTGGTCGAGGCTCTTTCCTTCGAATTCCGTCACTCTTCCCTGCTCCATGGCCATCAACACTTTGCTGATTTTGGCCAGCTCCAGTGTCCCCTCTGGTAGTCTGTAATATTGCCTGTGGATGCGAATGTCATGGCCGAGGAAGTTGGCAAGTATGTCCATCTCATTCTCTTTCATATTGAGAACTGTAGACATAGTAGCTATGTGCTTTCTAAGTTTGGTTGAGGATAGCATCTCTGGATGCACCGCACCACATTCTTTGGCTACCTGGCGTAGGGAGTCTGATCCCCTGATGTGGGTGTCTGCGCCCGGGCGGGAAAAGAAGTATGGGTTATGGTCAGAGATGGAAGAGGCCCTTCTGTTCTCCACCAGCACCTCCATCGAAGCAATCATTTCAGGAGTCAAAAGAACCGGCACTTTCCGACTTCTTTTCCCTTTAATTTCAATGCGTTGAAAATGCTGACACAGCTTTTTCTCAAGTTGGGACAGTCCCAGAGCAATGTCAGAATGGATCCCAGTCTTACTTCTTAAGGTAAAGGCTGTCAGTGGCATCTTTGAAACCTCACCTTCCCTTCTTCGATTGAAAATGATGACCTCACAAAGAGTCAAAACTGCCAGTTTAGACCAATGCTTAGACGTTGGCTCACTTATTAGGGTTTGCACATATTCAGGTCGACATACCTCAATATGTGCATGCATGGCTCTAACGTCCTCAGTCAGAGGGAGCAGGTCCGGAGTGTTCCACTTGGCTTGCCGGAGGGTCTGTAGGGCAGCAGAAGAAACACAGACGTCCCACCTCTTCTCAAAAAGCAGCCGGCTTCGTTGGAGGTTTTTAATAAATAGTTCATCAACACAATGCTCCATTTTTGAGTCACATTCAAGAATATCTGCTAGCTTTCTGAGGCTATGGCCGAGTTTGAGGGCCAAGGATGGAGTCTTGTATTGATTTGTTTCCTCATCATATCCAGCCACAGACCTGACTGCATCAATCACATGGTTAAAGTTGGAAGGAATAAAGAAATCCTTAATTGTTTTCAGTTTCCCTGCGGTTTTTGCTTCGTTAATTAACCTACCGACTTCTCTCATTTTCTGCCTAATGTAATCATGCTTTGTCTTATCATGCCCGTGTTTTAAGTACAGGTGCTCTCCGAGTCTCAGAATCCCCTTTTCTGCTTTGACAACACCCGTGACCTCATCCTGATGCATTGCCGAAATTAAAGACCACAGCTTTTTGCTGATGCCCTCCGGTACAGGCTGGGCTAGGGAGCAGAGGGACTGGACCCTACTTCTACCTGGTTTAGCCTGGGCATCTTTCTGTGAAAGCCGGCACCTGGCCACATGCCTCCACAGCGACTTTCGCTTAAGCAATGCCCCACAGTCTATACAGTGCAAAAACTCACTGGATTTAACTGGGGAATTTGGCTGTTTAGCTGGGACTAAAGTTCCAATGCCGGCCTTTAAAACCTCAAAATTGTGCTCACGGTTTCCACTATTCCTGATCAAATCAAACTGAAGTTTACGTGCTTTAGATTTCACAGGTAGAGCCAATGCTCTGGCTACGTCACTTTCATTTCCATGTTTTCTAGTCAAATGACGGGACATTTTGTGGCAGGACATTGAACAGTAGAGGCAGAAGTGTCTCTTGCTGTATACTCGCCCCCCATTTTTCTTCTTTTGCAGCTGCATGATAACAATCTTATTTGCCTTTGGTTCGTCACTTTCCGAGTCTTGAAGAAAAGTGTTTTTGATTTTTCTTTTTCCATACTTTTTTACAGGTTTCTTCTTGACAGTTAAATCGTCAGAATCTGAGTCGACTTCATCAATTAGGGACTCTTGACTAAGCTGCACAAACAACAAATAATTTGTAATCATTCTATATAACAATTTGAAGTCATGACTTGTAGTCAGCACTTACCAGTGGTTTGTAAGCGTGCGCTTCAGTGTGCTCCTCCGTGATTTCTTGCAGCCTAATGAACCACACACTTGCACCTTTTTCTAGCCTGACACCTGATTTCCTCTGTTGTGCTGCTCCATGATTGGCTCCAGCCTGCTGGACTGAAATTGCCCCAGTGTGCCCCTCCTTGATATCCCGCAACCCACCACCAGGGTTCCGACACATAACACACTTTTTTCAGGAAAGTAAACCTCCAGGGGTCCTTTCCATATTTTTACAGAGACTGCATAAGGACCGTTAGAAAAGCATTACCCATTGATTATTAAGCTTGGACCAGTGGGGTCCGGTGTTCGGGCCCCACCACGTAAAACCAGTCCCCATGACGTGAGTGGAATCTCAGGTTATGGAACCCACCAGGAGTTGAAAACAAGTGCACACACACACACACACACACACACACACACCCACACACACACGCACACGCACACACACACACACACACACACACACACACACACACACACACACACACACACACACACACACACACACACACACTCAAATACAGCTCCAATACAAACACAAAGTCATTGTTGTTCCTCAGTGAATATCTGAGGAATAATCCTTTATTTACAAACTATCAAGAAAATAATTTCAATATTATTCTTTACCAACTCACATTCTTCCTCATTTATGTTAGAAGCTATAGTTAAGCCAGTATAAACAATTACAACAAAAGTGTATTGCACATGCTCACGTATGAATCTATAATCCATATTTTCTAATATAATTTATTGTATATTTTAATGCCTATAAGTTATTCAAACCGTTTTTTAAATATCTTTAATACATGCTACAAACGCAAACTGGTGCAAGTAAACAGTGTGTTGCTATGGTAACCGCACTGGGACCAGTCTAGGCACTTTCATAAACATAGAGGCTTGAGTACATTTTTGATCTTCAAGACTTCATTACTTTTTGTGTTTCTTTATGTAGTTTATTTTTATGTCATGGTTTTTATGAAATTATCTTTTAATTGTGAAACGTGAGTAGAGACATATACAGTCTATGGTAGAGACGAAGAGAAGAAGAGCGGACGCTAGTAACCATAGCAACAGACCTGTTAGCATTAGCCTTTCAAATGTTTTTTTTCTGTATGGTTCTCGCTACATTTTCAGAATCCGAATTGGAGCGGTCAAATCACGATAGTAAAAAAAACGTATATTCTTATACAATGTTCGCCAAAATATATTTCCTATAACATTAGACGTGTTTCATTTCAGTTTTTTGATGGATCTGACAGTGTCCAGAGAGTATAGATTATAAACTGTAAATATTAGATAGTTTAAAAAAAATAGACATCTTTATTATTAATACAAACAACACAAACTAAAAAGGTACCTTACATAATATTTACACAAAATACAAAGTCCAACAAAATATAAACTAAACTAAAATATAAATAAAAAGGGGGCATGATCTCAGACCTCATCAGTCAGCTGTACATGTAAAAGTAAAAAGTTTAAATATTAGAGAGTAAAGATACGTCTTCTACACTCTCTGCTGTGGATCGTGCTTCCTCCAGACTCCAGCACCGCGCATGCGCACACGCCTCTCTGCGCGACACCTCACTTCCTCAGCTGCCATTGCTGAAGTGAAGGAGCAGAAAGGCGACTGCGGAGCGAATGTGGCATGAAGCGGAGAGGACAGGCGTCAAAACCCGTCTGAGCCCAGAAGTTTCCCCCAGACAGGAGCAGGAGCAGCAGGAGCAGCAGGAGGAGGAGGAGGCGGAGGAGGAGGCGCACGGGAGAGGCTGCTCCTGGATGGCTCAGTCCGCTCCTAACGATGTGGTCAGCAAGAGGCTACATTCAAGGTATGTCCCCTCTGGTCTGAGATCACATCAAGGGGCTGGAAAAGTCGTGTCTCTCCTCGGATGGAGGCAGAGAGACCCCGGGGCAGCTGTGGCTTCTGTAGAGCAGGACAGAGTACACATGTATACGCCTCATTCTCAAGTCTCATTCTCTTATGAGTCAAGGAGCTGGAGTAGTAGTTGTGTCTGAGTCTAGACTGGGAGCTTCTGGCTTCTACAGACTATTCTATTCTATTTATTTTGTTTTTCCCTGTATAACCAACAATAGTTTTCTCAGAGGACTTTACACAGCTGTTGATTCGCCAACATAGATCAGAGAATCAAACAGTTCAAGCTCAGAAAATGCAATGAAAAAACAAAATCTTTAAGCCATTGGTCCATAAGGAGCAGAAGACCATGTTAATAAATGGTAATAAAGTCCATGAATGTCATTGAATGTCGAGTGGATCAAAACGGTCCAATAACAACTTTAAAACCCAGTGGAATTACAGGATGGCATTACTTTGGTTCATTTTGTTGGAGATCCATTCATTTACATCAGACGTGTCCAAACTCAGGCCCACGAGCCAAATGCGGCCCTCCGTGTCATTGTATGTGGCCCGCTGCCTCGCTAACACACCAGTAGTTTTTGAGATAAATGGACAAAGTCGTGCCTCCATGTATTAGAATGTGAAATAATACCTCGTGTAGCAGCTCGTACTGATGCATGTGTCCATTTCCTGTTTTCATTTTATTGCACATTATCACCGCAAAAGCTAAAATTATATATACATTGAATCAGTTGAGCACACACAAAATTGTGAAGACCATATTAGTCCGTGACTGACTGTTGTAAAAGGGTTAAACGCTCAAAAGACTCAGTGTTACTGAAAATTTCTCCTTTTAATGAAGAGTTTTCTCCTGTTTCTGTCCCTTTGTGGCACAGCTGCACATTTGCATCTGAAATAACAGTTTTGGTCACAACACGCCACAAAACCACAATGAAATCTGGGCTGGAGGAGAGTTCTACAACAGGCTTTTGTCTGATTTTAACAATTCTGAACCTATTACACCCCCAGAGCAGTCATTTTGACAGCTGCAATTCAAATCAATGGAAATCTGAAAAAAACAAAACTTTTTTTCACTTTTTTTTGAATCAAATTCAAGTTTTTTTTCCCCCAAGACCAATCCTGCAGCTTGACAAAAATATTATAACTGCTTAACTGCTTTAGAATGTTGGTTGCCAAGAGACCAATAATTTAGAATTTTTAGAATTTTACATCCAAACGAATGGAGCCCTGGGAGTTAAATGTAGGATTAAATATAATGACTTAACGATACAGAAATAAATCTTCAAACTAAGATTCAATCCCACTCTATGCTTCAGACCTGTGTGTGCAGATAGACATAGTATAAACACCTCTGTCCCTGATGCATGACATAGGTACACAGTGACATAGGTACAGAGACACAGGTACACAGTGACACAGGTACAGAGACACAGGTACACAGTGACACAGGTACAGAGACACAGGTACACAGTGACACAGGTACACAGGTACACAGTGACACAGGTACACAGGTACACAGGTACACAGTGACACAGGTACACAGTAACACAGGTACACAGGTACACAGGTACACAGTGACACAGGTACACAGTGACACAGGTACACAGTGACACAGGTATAGAGACAGAGTGACACAGGTACACAGGTACACAGGTACACAGTGACACAGGTACACAGTAACACAGGTACACAGGTACACAGGTACACAGGTACACAGTGACACAGGTACACAGGTACACAGTGACACAGGTACACAGTGACACAGGTACACAGTGACACAGGTACACAGTGACACAGGTATAGAGACAGAGTGACACAGGTACACAGGTACACAGGTACACAGTGACACATGCTGGTGCTACAGAGCGACCTGGCCTCAGCCCGCAGAGAAAACCTATGTTTCTCCAACAAAGTATCGCGGCCTTTACTGCAGCTGCTCCAACCTGTCTGACAGAAACAACACATTTAAATGAGTTTCAATGTTTTTATTATTCAGAAGTGAATAAGGAGAAGTCTTTGATTAATAGTTCATGTTATTAACCTACGACTCAGGATCTGTGTATGAAGACGTCCATCACTGTGAGGAATATCCCACGACCACGAGAATGAATAAATACCTTTTTATTACTAAAATATTATGTTCCCCTTTAGGCGCCACAGTTTCAGAAATTTGATAAAAAACAGACAAAAAGTGGTGTGAAAAAGGGATTGGGGACTAGTAAAATATCTCACTGAAACACTAAAGAGAGTGACCGGAGAGAGAGACCAGAGGGAGAGAGAGACCAGAGGGAGAGAGAGAGTGACCAGAGGGAGACCAGAGGGAGAGAGAGACCAGAGGGAGAGAGAGACCAGAGGGAGGGAGAGAGAGACCAGAGGGAGGGAGAGAGAGACCAGAGGGAGGGAGAGAGAGACCAGAGGGAGGGAGAGAGAGACCAGAGGGGGAGAGAGAGACCAGAGGGGGAGAGAGAGACCAGAGGGGGAGAGAGAGAGACCAGAGGGGGAGAGAGAGAGACCAGGGGGGGAGAGAGAGACCAGGGGGGGAGAGAGAGACCAGGGGGGGAGAGAGAGACCAGAGGGAGAGAGAGACCAGCGTGAGAGAGAGACCAGCGTGAGAGAGAGACCAGCGTGAGAGAGTGACCAGCGTGAGAGAGTGACCAGCGTGAGAGAGTGACCAGCGTGAGAGAGTGACCAGCGTGAGAGAGTGACCAGCGTGAGAGAGTGAGAGACCAGAGGGAGAGAGTGAGAGACCAGAGGGAGAGAGAGAGAGAGACCAGAGGGAGAGAGAGAGAGACCAGAGGGAGAAAGAGAGACCAGAGGGAGAAAGAGAGACCAGAGGGAGACAAGAGGGAGACCAGAGAGCATTCGTTCTGCAGTGTAATTGTTTGTAATACGGTCATGAGTCTGAAGGAGAGAAAGAAAAAGAGAGACTGGTGTTAAAAAGGTCCACAGATTGGAAGTGCATGGACGGGGTTCTTGTTGGTTTCCTTGACAACAGGCAGTGGCTCTCTCTGTGGCGTGATTGCCAACTCCAACCACACACTATTTCTGTTCCGCTGCTAATAGTAGCCTCCGTTGTTCTTTCCCTCAATTTCGTATCAGCGTTGGAGAATTTTGTAGGTTATTTATTTGTTTTGTTTTTTGTTTGAATTGTATTAGTTTTGTTCAAAAGAGTGGGCTGAAGCAAGAATCGAATGAGTACCCCCAGAGAGTGAGAGACCAGGGAGTGAGAGGCCAGGGAGTGAGATGCCAGGGAGTGAGAGGCCAGGGAGTGAGAGGCCAGGGAGTGAGAGGCCAGAGAGAGAGAGAGGCCAGAGAGTGAGAGGCCAGAGAGTGAGAGGCCAGAGAGTGAGAGGCCAGAGAGTGAGAGGCCAGAGAGTGAGAGGCCAGAGAGTGAGAGGCCAGAGAGTGAGAGGCCAGAGAGTGAGAGGCCAGAGAGTGAGAGGCCAGAGAGTGAGAGGCCAGAGAGTGAGAGGCCAGAGAGTGAGAAGCCAGAGAGTGAGAGGCCAGAGAGTGAGAGGCCAGAGAGTGAGAGGCCAGAGAGTGAGAGGCCAGAGAGTGAGAGGCCAGAGAGTGAGAGGCCAGAGAGTGAGAGGCCAGAGAGTGAGACGCCAGGGAGTGAGAGGCCAGAGAGTGAGAGGCCAGGGAGTGAGAGGCCAGGGAGTGAGAGGCCAGAGAGTGAGAGGCCAGGGAGTGAGAGGCCAGGGAGTGAGAGGCCAGGGAGTGAGAGGCCAGAGAGTGAGAGGCCAGGGAGTGAGAGGCCAGAGAGTGAGAGGCCAGGGAGTGAGAGGCCAGGGAGTGAAAGGCCAGAGAGTGAGAGGCCAGAGAGTGAGAGGCCAGAGAGTGAGAGAGGCCAGAGAGTGAGAGAGGCCAGAGAGAGAGAGAGGCCAGAGAGAGAGAGAGGCCAGAGAGTGAGAGACCCTACAGAGAGAGACCCTACAGAGAGAACAAGACCACAGAGAGAGATGAGGACTAGTAAAAGAGAGACCAGTCTCCAGTGTTGTGCGTGAACGAGTTCAAAAGAACGCGTTCATTGAACACGCTCATTTTTTTGTGAACGTTGAACTGAACGCAACACATTTTTTAAAAAAGAACTTGAACGTGAATTAGTTCATTTTATGTGTCATGAACGGCAGACATCACTATGAACGTTGGAATCTGTTTTCTCTTTTGAAACGCAACGAGAGAAAGTTCCTCCCTCCTGTATTCTCGCACTTTTTACGCCGAAATCTATGAATTCCTACGGTTTCCACCGTCTGTGAACGCACCCCGACTCCTGTTGCGGTGCGGCGCTGTGAGCTGGTGCTTTTCACATGTGCCCGAGTCGTGATGAAAACACAGGGTGAGTTAGCGACAAAGTTTACACCGTTTACATTTGACATAAAGTATAGACACATATATATATATATATATATATATATATATATATATATATATATATATATATATATATATAATATATAGCTCGTAGTGTGAAAGAAATATTTATTAAAGTATCTCACGAAAAAAGTAAAATGAACTGAACTTTGAACTAGTTCAGGATTAAAAATGTGAACTTTGAACGTGAACTGTTCACTTTGAGCATGTATGAACTGAACTTGAACTAGTTCAGAAAAGCTGTGAACTGGCACAACACTGCCAGTCTCCTAATATACCGTCTTTTTCTACCTTCATTTTAATCTGTGTTTTTCTTTGTAGTTTTGTAATGAATCATGTTCATATGTTCCCATCAGGCCACGCCCCATCTTCAGGCCACGCCCCCCCTTACAAACTTCTTGTGTGTGTTTGTGGTTCACCTCAGTCTGTGGTGTGTGTCCATTGTGCAGATCTGCAGCGTCGGCTTCTTTCACTTTTACTGTGTGTTCGAGAATCTCAGGCTTTTACATTTGCACAATCGTGAAAGCTGTCATGGACTTCCAGAGAGAGAGACAAGAGACAAATAGAGGACTGGAATAAAACTAGAGTAGCTCTGCAGAAAGAAGTGTTTTTGCAGAGGCGGGACTTCTGGCAAAATTGTAAAATACTTAGATAATAGAATAATAATTGTGTAATAAAATGTTTTGTGTATTTTAGTTATCTTGCTGTATATTATTACAAAAGACCAGAGAGAGAGAGGGAGCCCAGAGAGAGAGGGAGACCAGAGAGAGAGAGGGAGACCAGAGAGAGAGAGGGAGACCAGAGAGAGAGAGGGAGACCAGAGAGAGAGAGGGAGACCAGAGAGAGAGAGGGAGACCAGAGAGAGAGAGGGAGACCAGAGAGAGAGAGGGAGACCAGAGAGAGAGAGGGAGACCAGAGAGAGAGAGGGAGACCAGAGAGAGAGAGAGGGAGACCAGAGAGAGAGAGGGAGACCAGAGAGAGAGAGGGAGACCAGAGAGAGAGAGAGGGAGACCAGAGAGAGAGAGGGAGACCAGAGAGAGAGAGGGAGACCAGAGAGAGAGAGGGAGACCAGAGAGAGAGAGGGAGACCAGAGAGAGAGAGGGAGACCAGAGAGAGAGAGGGAGACCAGAGAGAGAGAGAGGGAGACCAGAGAGAGAGAGGGGGAGACCAGAGAGAGAGAGGGAGACCAGAGAGAGAGAGAGGGAGACCAGAGAGAGAGAGGGAGACCAGAGAGAGAGAGGGAGACCAGAGAGAGAGAGGGAGACCAGAGAGAGAGAGGGAGACCAGAGAGAGAGAGGGAGACCAGAGAGAGAGAGAGGGAGACCAGAGAGAGAGAGGGAGACCAGAGAGAGAGAGGGAGACCAGAGAGAGAGAGAGGGAGACCAGAGAGAGAGAGGGAGACCAGAGAGAGAGAGGGAGACCAGAGAGAGAGAGGGAGACCAGAGAGAGAGAGGGGGAGACCAGAGAGAGAGAGGGAGACCAGAGAGAGAGAGAGGGAGACCAGAGAGAGAGAGGGAGACCAGAGAGAGAGAGGGAGACCAGAGAGAGAGAGGGAGACCAGAGAGAGAGAGGGAGACCAGAGAGAGAGAGGGAGACCAGAGAGAGAGAGGGAGACCAGAGAGAGAGAGGGGGAGACCAGAGAGAGAGAGGGAGACCAGAGAGGGAGACCAGAGAGAGAGAGGGACACCGACTCCCACTGTCTGCTGTCATTGCGTCCTTTGAGTCCTTTGGCAAGACACTGAACCTCTGGGAACACCTGGGGCTGTAAAGTGCCAAACAGCCGTTGTGTCCATTGCCTAGAATGAGTCTGGTGTGTATGTGAATGGTTGGTGGTGTCAGAGGGGCCGATGGCACATACAGGTTGCCTTGCTTCTGTCAGTGTGCCCCAGGGCAGCTGTGTCTTTGAGTGTCTAAAAAAGCGCTATATAAACCGATGCAGTAGAGTAGAGTAGAGTAGTTTGAGGCCATGGCGCTTTATAGAAATGGTTGTATATCGATCAACACATACAGATCATGTTCATAGTGTTTCTATGAAGTCTATATTACTCTTATGTTTTTGTAATGAAACGACTTCAGTCATAAACGCTTCTTTAAGTGAACAACAACGTCCTGAACCAGGTGCTACCAGGAAGTGCTGTGCAGCGTAGTTTGGAGCACCTCTTGTCTTTCGTGTCTTGGCTGCTGCTGATCTCAGGCTGAGGCGGTGTCAGCAGATCTGTGGATTTGCAGAGGCCTCTCTCGATGCTGCGGTCGCTCCTGAGGCCACACGGTTCATCGGATTAGCCATCCTCTCCCTCTCAACTCAGTCTGTCGTCGGTATTGCGGCCAAGGCTTAGAATGCATTTTCCTTGTTGTCATTTAATAGTCTCTCTCGTACTCTGGAGAGATCGAGTAAACTACACAGTGTGGTCTATTATCTGCTGGATTCTACTTCAGCTCAGAGGAAACCAGAGAAAAGAGCAGACTGTGGGGAAAATACCAGTGTTGTTGAGCCAGAAGCTTTTCATCTACATGGATTTTTTTTTTTTACTTTTTAAGTAGGATGCCATAAATTCTCCGCTCTCTCTTCTGACCCTTGGTGGAAATACTGTCAGGACTTTCAGATTTGTTCAAGACTCAAAGTGCTGCATGTGTTTCTTGGATCTGCTTTGACTGAGCTCAGAAGTCTCCATGGGAACGCATCCAGTTGTCCGTTGTATTATCAGATGATGGGGCTGCCTTTGTCTGCTATAGCTGCCAGTGCGATCTGATATTAGTCGTTTTTAGTCCATAGTAGAAGCAGTGATGGCCTCTGAGGAGTGTCCACTGTCGGGGGCGGAGAAGGCGGTGTGCACACTGGTTCACCACGGTCCCAGGCCACGCTCTGTGCTGAAGCCTCTGCACGTAGAACTTCAGGGGTTTGTGGAGCGAGCGCGATCCAGGAAGAAATACAGGTGCGAAAACAAGGAGAGAACCTGCAAAAAATGAATGATAAAGTTGTTACAGTAAGGTGCTCGGTGGGGCATGAAGCCACTATGGGCACAGAAAGATTAGCGTAGCCCCATCCATATGTGAAAAACCAGCAGAGTTTGGATTTATAGAAAACCGATGGATTTAACAAGAAGAAAAGTTCAGGACGACAAGGGGCACTAAAATCCCCACAGAATCTTCCTTTATGAAAGCTGTAGGTTCTCTGTCAGGTTCTCTGTCCGCTAAGGTCGAGCTGTTTTAGTTTACATTCAGTTCTATGTGGACAATTTCTGGGTAGCCCTCATGAATTTAGTCTGCAGTACCGTGAGAATCCCCCGAGCACATGGGTGCATCAGATATAAGCTAGTAATACCCTATCCAGTTATTATAGATCCAGTTGTACCATGAATACAGAAAAACAAATACATTAATGGACATTTGCAAATCCACGGTTTTGTAGATTCCTCCGAGATAACTACTGTTGTGATTTGGGCTGTAAATAAATCCATCAGTCAGACTCGGCTCGCACTGATTGGATCCTTCCTCTACATCTTTTAATTAGATTAAAGAGGCTTGTAAACCTGTGTGAAACCAATTATAATGTTTACACTGGCAAGCAGCCACGTAAACTGGATCCTATACGGAGACACTGCCAACAGATGCATTTAAAAGCACAAGGAAAAAACACATTGGCCAAGGCTGGTTTGTTGGATACCACAATTCATACAAGAGAAACTCGACAAAGTGCAAAAATCAAATAAATACACACATAAAACATACATACTCATATACCATTAAAATGCGTGCTAATAGGAGCTAAAGCATTGGAGCAAAACTTCGACCATTAGCACTTCCCTTTTCCCTAAGCTTCATTGAGCTACAGTGTTAGCATTGTCCATCTATTCTCAACCTATGGACATAAAGGATGTTGCTCGAATTATTTAATAATAATATAGATAATAAAGGATTGATTGATTGATATTTTTATGATTTTTTTTTTTGCAAGTACGTGATTTTGTTAGCTTAGCCGTAGCACCAACTGGAAACCACTCCCCCCTCCCCTCCCTCTCCACTAAACCAAACATCCAGCATTTTCTTTTCTTTGTCACAACAGGGAGAGAGGGCGGCAAATGTGAAACTGGCATTTTCTATTCAGCCATTTTAGGTTCTAGAAAATCCAATTATTCCGGTGCACTCAGGAAGGGGGTAAACGCATCCCATTGGTTCGTTGAGGATGAAAGAATCCCATTGGTTTATTATCGGTCCGCTCCAAAATATGTTTTATTCATTTTTGGAGACTATAGGCATCTGGTCAATTCCATTACTAACTCATGTTAACTTGATATTTTTAAGGTTTAGGGACTGACTGCATCTTTAAAGAAATATCCGTCCATACTTATTCATGTTGACGTGTGTGTTTGCAGGATGGAGGCGTCTTGTCTGGAGCTGGCCTTGGAAGGGGAGAGACTTTGTAAATCCGGAGACTTTAAAGGAGGGACGGCCTTCTTCGAGGCCGCGGTGCAGGTGGGAACAGAAGACCTCAAGACTCTAAGTGCCATTTACAGCCAACTGGGAAACGCCTACTTCTACCTTAAAGAGTACGGGAAAGCTCTGGAGTACCACCGACACGACCTCACGCTAGCCCGGTACGCCTTTATATGTGGTTCTGTCTAATGATGCTGGACTGTGGGTAGATGGATGAGAGAGAGAGAGAGAGAGAGAGAGAGAGAGAGAGAGAGAGAGAGAGAGAGAGAGAGAGAGAGAGAGAGAGAGAGAGAGAGAGAGAGAGAGAGAGAGAGAGAGAGAGAGAGAGAGAGAGAGAGAGAGAGAGAGAGAGAGAGAGAGAGAGAGAGAGAGAGAGAGAGAGAGAGAGAGAGAGAGAGAGAGAGAGAGAGAGAGAGAGAGAGAGAGAGAGAGAGAGAGAGAGAGAGAGAGAGAGAGAGAGAGAGAGAGAGAGAGAGAGAGAGAGAGAGAGAGAGAGGAGAGAGAGAGAGACAAATGGTAGAGAGAGAGAGACAAATGGTAGAGAGAGAGAGACAAATGGTAGAGAGAGAGAGAAATGGTAGAGAGAGAGAGAGAGAAATGGTAGAGAATGGTTAGAGAGAGAGAGAGAAATGGTAGAGACAAATGGTAGAGAGAGAGAGAGAGAAATGGTAGAGAGTAGAGAGAGAGAGAGATGGAGAGAGAGATGAGAGAGAGACAAATGGTAGAGAGAGAGAGAGAGACCAAATGGTAGAGAGAGAGAGAGAGAGAGAAATGGTAGAGAGAGAGAGAGAGAGAGATGGTATAGAGAGAGAGAGAGAGGAGAGACAAATGGTAGAGAGAGAGAGAGACAAATGGTAGAGGAGAGAGAGACAAATGGTAGAGAGAGAGAGAGACAAATGGTAGACTGAGAGAGAGACAAATGGTGAGAGAGAGAGACCAAATGGTAGAGAGAAGAGAGAGAACAAATGGTAGAGAGAGAGAGACAAATGGTAGAGAGAGAGAGAGAAATGGTAGAGAGAAATGGTAGAGAGAGAGAGAGAGAAATGGTTAGAGAGAAAATGGTAGAGAGAGAGAGAGAAATGGTAGAGAGAAATGGTAGAAATGGTTAGAGAGAGAGAGAAATGGAGAGAGAAAATGGTAGAGAGAGAGAGAGAGAGAGAGACAAATGGTAGAGAGAGAGAGACAAATGGTAGAGAGAGAGAGAGAAATGGTAGAGAGAGAGAGAGAAATGGTAGAGAGAGAGAGAAATGGTAGAGAGAGAGAGAGAAATGGTAGAGAGAGAGAGAGAAATGTAGAGAGAGAGGAGAGAGAAATGGTAGAGAGAGAGAGAGAGAAGAGAGGTAGAGAGAGAGAGATGGAGAGAGGAAGAGAGAGAGAAATGTAGAGAGTAGAGAGAGAGAGAGAAATGGTAGATACAAATGGAGAGAGAGGAGAGAGAAATGGGTAGAGGACAGAGTAGAGAGGAGAGAAATTGTAGAGACAGTAAAATGTAGTTAGAAGAGAGAGAGAAATGGTAGAGAGAGAGAGAGTAAGAGAGAGAGAGAGATGGTATGGTAGAGAGAAGAGAGATGGTAGAGAGAGAGAGAGAAATGGTAGAGAGAGACGAGAGAAATGGTTAGAGAGAGAGAGAGAAAGGTAAAGAGAGAGAGAGAATATTGGTAGAGAGAGAGAGAGAAATTGGTTAAGAGAGAGAAGAGAGAAATGGTAGAGGAGAGAGAGATGGAGAGAGAGGATAAGAGAGAGAGAGGAGAGAAATGGTAGAGGGTAGGAGAGAGAGAGAATGGAGAGAGAGAGAGAAATTGGTAGAGAGAGAGAGAGATTGGAGAGAATGGTAGAGAGAGAGAGAGAAATATGGTAGAGAGAGAAGAGTAGAGAGAGTGAGAGGAGAGAGAGACACATGGTAGAGAGAGAGGTTAGAGAGAAGAGGAGGTAGTGAGAAATGGTAGAGAGAGAGAGAGAGAGAGAGAGAAATGGTAGAGAAGAGAGAGAGAAAATGGTAGAGAGAGAGAGAGAGAGAGAAAATGGGTAGAGAGAGTATGGTTAGAGAGAAGAGAGAAATGGGTAGAGAGAGTAGAGAGAGAGAGAGAGAGAAATGGTGAGAGGTAGAGAGAGAGACAAATGGTAGAGAGAGAGAGAGAAGATAGAGACAAATGGTAGAGACGATGGAGAGAGAGAGAGAAATGGTAGAGAGTAGAGAGAGAGAGAGAAATGGTAGAGAGGAAGAGGTAGAAATGGTGAGAGAGAGAGAATGGTAGACGAGAGAGAGAGATTGGTAGAGAAATGGTTAGAGAGAGAGAGAGAAATGGTGGTAGAGAGAGAGAGAGAGAGAGCAGAAATGTGTAGAGTGAGAGAGAGAAATGGTAGAGAGAAATGGTAGAGAGAGAGAGAGAAAAGTAGAGAAGAGAGAGAGAAATGGTAGAGAGAGAGAGAGAAAATGGGTAGAGAGAGAGAGAGAAATGGTATAGAGAGAGAGAGAGAAATGGTAGAGAGGAGAGAGAATGGAGAGAGAGGACAAGATGGGTGAGAGAGAGAGAGAGAAATGGTAGAGAGAGAGAAAATGGCTAGAGAGAGAGATGGGAGAGAGAGAGACAAATGGATGTAGAGAGAGAGATGGGAGAGAGAGAGACAAATGGTAGAGGAGAGAGGGAGAGAGAGATGGAGAGAGAGAGAGAGAGATGGGAGAGAGAGAGAGAGATGGGGAGAGAGAGAGACAAAGTGGTAAGAGAGAGAGAGAGAGAGATAGGGAGAGAGAGAGAGAGAGATGGGAGAGAGACGGGAGAGAGAGATGGAGAGAGAGGACGGAGAGAGAGATGGTAGAGAGAGAGGTCTAGAGAGAGATGGGAGAGAGAGAGGAGAGAGAGAGAGAGACAAATGGTAGAGAGAGAGAGAGAGAGAATGGTTAGAGTAGAGAGAAATGGTTAGAGAGGAGAGAGGAAATGGTAGAGAGAAATGGTAGAGAGAGAGAGAGAGAGATGATGGTAGAGAGAGAGACAAAGGAGAGAGAGAGAGGAGAAATGGTTAGAGAGAGAGAGAAATGGTAGAGAGAGAGAGAGAAATGGTAGAGAGAGAGAGAGAGAGAAATGGTTGAGAGAGAGAGAGAAATGGACGAGAGAGAGAGAATGGGTAGAGAGAGAGAGAGAGAGATGGGAGGAGGAGAGAGAGATGGTGAGAGAGAGAGAGAAATGGTAAGAGAGAGAGAGAGAGAGAGGATGGGAGAGAGAGATGGAGAGAGAGGGAGAGAGAGGAGAGAGAGAGAGAGAGAGAGAGAGAGAGAGAAATGGTAGAGAGACGGGAGAGAGATGGGGAGAGAGACGGGAGAGAGATGGGAGGAGAGACGGGAGAGAGGGAGAGAGACGTTAGGAGGGAGAGAGAAATGGTAGAGAGAGAGAGAGAAGAAATGGTTAGAGAGAGAGAGGGAAATGAGTAGAGAGAGAGAGAGAATGGTAGAGAGAGAGAGAAAATGGTAGAGAGAGAGAGAGAAATTGGTAGAGAGAGAGAGAGAAATGGTAGAGAGAGAGAGAGAAATGGCTAGAGAGAAGAAATGGTTTAGAGAGAGTGACAAATGGTTAGAGAGAGAGAGTGATGAGAGAGATGGAGAGAGAGAGAGAGAGATGGGAGAGAGTGAGGGAGAGAGAGATGGGAGAGAGACAAATGGTAGGAGAGGAGAGAGACAAATGGTAGAGAGAGAGACAAATGGTAGAGAGAGAGAGACAAATGGTAGAGAGAGAGAGACAAATGGTAGAGAGAGAGAGACAAATGGTAGAGAGAGAGAGACCAAATGGTAGAGAGAGAGACAAATGGTAGAGAGAGAGAGACAAATGGAGAGAGAGACAAATGGTTAGAGAGAGAGAGAGAGACAGATGGTAGAGAGAGAGAGACAAATGGTAGAGAGAGAGAGACAAATGGAGTTGGAGAGAGAGGAGACAAATGGAGAGAGAGAGAGAGGAGAGAGAGAGAGAGAGAGATGGGGAGAGAGAGTGAGAGAGAGATGGGAGAGAGAGAGAGAGAGATGGGAGGGGAGAGAGAGAGAGAGAGATGGAGAGAGAGAGAGAGAGAGAGATGGGAGAGAGAGAGAGAGAGAGATGGGAGAGAGAGAGAGACAAATGGTAGAGAGAGAGAGACAAATGGTAGAGAGAGAAGAGAGACAAATGGTAGAGAGAGAGAGACAAATGGTAGAGAGAGAGACAAATGGTAGAGAGAGAGAGACAAATGGGAGAGAGAGAGAGATGGTAGAGAGAGAGAGACAAATGGTAGAGAGAGAGAGAGAGAGACAAATGGTAGAGAGAGAGAGAGAGAGACAAATGGTAGAGAGAGAGAGACAAATGGTAGAGAGAGAGAGACAAATGGTAGAGAGAGAGAGACAAATGGTAGAGAGAGAGAGACAAATGGTGAGAGAGAGAGACAAATGGGTAGAGAGAGAGAGACAAATGGTAGAGAGAGAGAGACAAATGGTAGAGAGAGAGAGAGAGAGACAAATGGTAGAGAGAGAGAGACAAATGGTAGAGAGAGAGAGACAAATGGTAGAGAGAGAGAGACAAATGGTAGAGAGAGAGAGACAAATGGTAGAGAGAGAGAGACAAATGGTAGAGAGAGAGAGACAAATGGTAGAGAGAGAGAGAGAGAGAGACAAATGGTAGAGAGAGAGAGAGAGAGAGACAAATGGTAGAGAGAGAGAGAGAGAGAGAGAAATGGTAGAGAGAGAGAGACAAATGGTAGAGAGAGAGAGACAAATGGTAGAGAGAGAGAGACAAATGGTAGAGAGAGAGAGAGAGAAATGGTAGAGAGAAATGGTAGAGAGAGAGAGAGAAATGGTAGAGAGAAATGGTAGAGAGAGAGAGAGAAATGGTAGAGAGAAATGGTAGAGAGAGAGAAATGGTAGAGAGAAATGGTAGAGAGAGAGAGAGAAATGGTAGAGAGAGAGAGAGAAATGGTAGAGAGAGAGAGAGAAATGGTAGAGAGAGAGAGATGGTAGAGAGAGAGAGAGAAATGGTAGAGAGAGAGAGAGAAATGGTAGAGAGAGAGAGACAAATGGTAGAGAGAGAGAGAGAAATGGTAGAGAGAGAGACAAATGGTAGAGAGAGAGATGGGAGAGAGAGAGACAAATGGTAGAGAGAGAGATGGGAGAGAGAGAGAGAGAGAGATGGGAGAGAGAGAGAGAGAGATGGGAGAGAGAGAGAGAGAGAGATGGGAGAGAGACGGGAGAGAGATGGGAGAGAGAGAGACAAATGGTAGAGAGAGAGATGGGAGAGAGAGAGAGAGAGAGATGGGAGAGAGAGAGAGAGAGATGGGAGAGAGAGAGAGAGAGATGGGAGAGAGACGGGAGAGAGATGGGAGAGAGACGGGAGAGAGATGGGAGAGAGACGGGAGAGAGAGACAAATGGTAGAGAGAGAGAGAGAGAAATGGTAGAGAGAAATGGTAGAGAGAGAGACAAATGGTAGAGAGAAATGGTAGAGAGAGAGAGAGAAATGGTAGAGAGAGAGAGAGAAATGGTAGAGAGAGAGACAAATGGTAGAGAGAGAGAGAGAAATGGTAGAGAGAGAGAGAAATGGTAGAGAGAGAGAGAGAAATGGTAGAGAGAGAGAGAGAAATGGTGAGAGAGAGAGAGAGAAATGGTAGAGAGAAATGGTAGAGAGAGAGAGAGAAATGGTAGAGAGAAATGGTAGAGAGAGAGACAAATGGTAGAGAGAGAGAGAGAGATGGGAGAGAGAGAGAGAGAGAGATGGGAGAGAGAGAGAGAGAGATGGGAGAGAGACGGGAGAGAGATGGGAGAGAGACGGGAGAGAGATGGGAGAGAGACGGGAGAGAGATGGGAGAGAGACGGGAGAGAGAGAGAAATGGTAGAGAGAGAGAGAGAAATGGTAGAGAGAGAGAGAGAAATGGTAGAGAGAGAGACAAATGGTAGAGAGAGAGAGAGAAATGGTAGAGAGAGAGAGAGAAATGGTAGAGAGAGAGAGAGAAATGGTAGAGAGAGAGAGAGAAATGGTAGAGAGAGAGACAAATGGTAGAGAGAGAGAGAGAGAGATGGGGGAGAGAGAGAGAGAGAGAGATGGGAGAGAGAGAGAGAGAGATGGGAGAGAGACGGGAGAGAGATGGGAGAGAGACGGGAGAGAGATGGGAGAGAGACGGGAGAGAGATGGGAGAGAGAGACGGGGAGAGAGAGAGAAATGGTAGAGAGAGAGACAGGAGGGAGAGCGAGAGAGAGAGAGAAATGGTAGAGAGAGAGAGAGAGAGACTGGGGAGAGAGAGAAATGGTAGAGAGAGAGACAGGAGGGAGAGAGAGACTGGGGAGAGAGAAAGAAATGGTAGAGAGAGAGACAGGAGGGAGAGAGAGAGATGGGAGAGAGAGAGACGGGAGGGAGAGAGAGAGATGGTAGAGAGAGAGACGGGAGGGAGAGAGAGAGATGGTAGAGAGAGAGACAGGAGGGAGAGAGAGAGACGGGAGGGAGAGAGACGGGAGAGAGAGAGAGATGGGGGAGAGAGAGAGAAATGGTAGAGAGAGAGACAGGAGGGAGAGAGAGAGATGGGAGAGAGAGAGACGGGAGGGAGAGAGACGGGAGAGAGAGAGAGATGGGGGAGAGAGAGAGAAATGGTAGAGAGAGAGACAGGAGGGAGAGAGAGACGGGGAGAGAGAGAGAAAGACGGGAGAGAGACGGGAGAGAGAGAAATGGTTGAGAGAGAGACAGGAAGGAGAGAGAGAGAGATGGGAGAGAGAGAGAGACAGGAGGGAGAGAGAGAGAGAGATGGGAGAGAGAGACGGGAGAGAGAGAAATGGTTGAGAGAGAGACAGGAAGGAGAGAGAGAGAGAGAGAGACTGGCGAGAGAGAGAGGGAGAGAGAGACACGGGAAAGAGAGAGAGGGAGAGACGAGAGAGAGACGGGAGGGAGAGAGAGAGAGAGAGAGAGGCAGAGAGAGAGGCAGAGAGAGAGGCAGAGAGAGCGAGAGAGGCAGAGAGAGAGGCAGAGAGAGCGAGAGAGGCAGAGAGAGGCAGAGAGAGAGGCAGAGGCAGAGAGAGCGAGAGAGGCAGAGAGAGCGAGAGAGGCAGAGAGAGCGAGAGAGGCAGAGAGAGCGAGAGAGGCAGAGAGAGCGAGAGAGGCAGAGAGAGCGAGAGAGGCAGAGAGAGCGAGAGAGGCAGAGAGAGCGAGAGAGGCAGAGAGAGCGAGAGAGGCAGAGAGAGCGAGAGAGAGAAATGGTAGAGAGAGAGACAGGAGGGAGAGAGAGGGAGAGAGATGGGAGAGAGAGAGAAATGGTAGAGAGAGAGACTGGGGAGAGAGAAAGAAATGGTAGAGAGAGAGAGAGATGGGAGAGAGAGAGAGAGAGATGGGAGAGAGACGGGAGAGAGAGAGAAATGGTAGAGAGAGAGACAGGAGGGAGAGCGAGAGAGACGGGAGAGAGAGAGAGAGAGAGAGGGAGAGAGAGAGAGACTGGGGAGAGAGAGAAATGGTAGAGAGAGAGACAGGAGGGAGAGAGAGAGGGAGAGACGAGAGAGAGACGGGAGGGAGAGAGACGGGGGGGAGAGAGTGAGACAGGAGAGACCAGAGAGAGATGGGAGGAAGAGACAAGATACCAGAGAGAGAAAATGGAGACCAAAGAGAGAGAGACCAAAGAGATCAAAGGAGAGACCAAAGAAGGAGAGACCAAAGAATCTAAGGAATGTAAATATTGTAAATACTTATGATTGTAAAATTTCTGCTCGAATGAATAAAAAAATCAATCAAAAATCAATCAATCAAGAAGGAGAGACCAAAGAAGGAGAGAACAGAGAGAGACCAAAGGAGGAGAGACCAAGGAGAGACCAAGGAGAGACCAGAGAGAGACCAGAGAGAGACCAGAGAGAGACCAGAGAGAGACCAGAGAGAGACCAAGGGAGAGACCAAGGGAGAGACCAGGGAGAGACCAGGGAGAGACCAGGGAGAGACCAGGGAGAGACCAGGGAGAGACCAGGGAGAGACCAGGGAGAGACCAGGGAGAGACCAGGGAGAGACCAGGGAGAGACCAGGGAGAGACCAGGGAGAGACCAGGGAGAGACCAGGGAGAGACCAGGGAGAGACCAGGGAGAGACCAGGGAGAGACCAGGGAGAGACCAGGGAGAGACCAGGGAGAGACCAGAGAGAGACCAGAGAGAGACCAAGAGAGAGACCAGAGAGAGACCAGAGAGAGACCAGAGAGAGACCAGAGAGAGACCAGAGAGAGACCAGAGAGAGACCAGAGAGAGACCAGAGAGAGACCAGAGAGAGACCAGAGAGAGACCAGAGAGAGACCAGAGAGAGACCAGAGAGAGACCAGAGAGAGACCAGAGAGAGACCAGAGAGAGACCAGAGAGAGACCCAGAGAGAGACCCAGAGAGAGACCCAGAGAGAGACCAGAGAGAGACCAGAGAGAGACCAGGGAGAGACCATTTCATAAACATAATTACATTGCTATAAACTCCACGTAGAAACACTGCCCTGGGAGTTCCTGTTAGCACCTTGTGTATGAACTGTGCCATACAAATAAACTTGCCTCTTCTTGACCTCAAATCTGTCGCTGCCTCTTCAGGACCATAGGAGACCGCATCGGAGAAGCCAAAGCCAGCGGTAACCTTGGAAACACCTTAAAAGTATTAGGACGCTACGATGAAGCCATTGTGTGCTGCCAGCGGCACTTGGACATTTCCCAAGAGCAAAGTGACAAGGTTAGTTTCATTTTCAGGTTTTAAAAAGTCAACATTAGCGTTAGCATCACTTCCTTAGCTTCTTATTTGTTCCTTTTTGATTTTTCACCGTCACAATCCTACACTTTTTTAAACTTATTTTATTCTTGTACTTTTTAGCTTGTTTTATGTACGTATTTGTTTTCTGCACTCTGGAGATTGTGGCACAGCTGCATGTGAAACTCAGATCTTTGAAGCTAAGCAGGGCAGGGCCTGGTTAGTACTGTGATGGGAGACCTGTGGGAACGCCAGGTGCCACAGTGGGGTCTGTGGCTGTAAATTGCCAAACTGTGTTGTGTCCTTAGGCAAGACACTTCCCCCATATTAGAATGAGTCTGGTGTGTGTGTGAATGGTTGGTGATGGTGGGAGGGGCCGATGGCACAGACTGGTTGCCTTGCTTCTGTCAGTGTGCCCCAGGGCAGCTGTGGCTACAGTATTAATTTATCACCACTGTGTTTGGGGAGAATAATGATGTGAAGAGACTTTGAGTGTTTAAAAAAGAGCTGTATAAAACTTATTATGATGTAGTTTTACTGTAAACGACAAATAATCTGAATCTGAATCTGAACAGGTGGGAGAAGCTCGATCGCTCTACAACATTGGGAATGTTTATCACGCCAAAGGGAAGCAGCAACTGTGGGGCAGCTCCCAGGAACCAGGAGACCTCCCGGCGGACGTCAGAGAGACCTTACAGAAGGCCACGGATTATTACGAGTACGCACACACCTCACACACCCGCACACACCTCACACACCCGCACACCTGCAGCACACCTGCCGCACACCTGCCGCACACCTGCAGCACACCTGACGCACACCTGCCACACACCTGCCCACACCTGACACACACCTGCCACACACCTGCCACACACACCTGACACACACCTGCCACACACCTGACACACACGCCTGCCACACGCCTGCCACACGCCTGACACACGCCTGACACACGCCTACCACACGCCTGCCACACGCCTGACACACGCCTGACACACACGCCTGCCACACGCCTGCCACACACCTGCCACACACACCTGACACACACCTGCCACACACCTGCCACACACACCTGACACACACCTGACACACACCTGCCACACACCTGCCACACACACCTGCCACACACCTGACACACACGCCTGCCACACGCCTGCCACACGCCTGACACACGCCTGACACACGCCTGCCACACGCCTGCCACACGCCTGCCACACGCCTGCCACACGCCTGCCACACGCCTGCCACACGCCTGACACACGCCTGACACACGCCTACCACACGCCTGCCACACGCCTGACACACGCCTGACACACGCCTGACACACGCCTGACACACGCCTGACACACGCCTGCCACACGCCTGCCACACGCCTGACACACGCCTGACACACGCCTACCACACGCCTGACACACGCCTGACACACGCCTGACACACGCCTGACACACGCCTACCACACGCCTCCCACACGCCTGCCACACGCCTGCCACACGCCTGCCACACGCCTGCCACACGCCTGCCACACGCCTGCCACACGCCTGACACACGCCTGACACACGCCTGACACACACCGCACACACACCGCACACACACCTGACACACACCTGACACACACCTCACACCTGCCACCAGACGGAAGCTGTGTGTGACGTGTGTGTTATTGTGTGTGTTATGATCTCTGCAGGATGAATCTGGCGTTGGTCACAGAGGTGGGGGACAGAGCAGCTCAGGGCAGAGCCTACGGTAACCTCGGCAACACTCAGTATCTACTCGGAAACTTTGTGGAAGCCATAAAGTTCCATCGCCAGGTGAGACGTTCTACTCTACCCTCCTCTCCTCTACTCTACTCTACTCTACTCTACTCTACTCTACTCTACCCTACTCTACCCTACCCTACTCTCCTCTACTCTCCTCTACCTTACCCTACTCTACCCTACCCTACGCTTCTCTACTCTACTCTACTCTACCCTACTCTACCCTACTCTACTCTCCTCTACTCTACTCTACTCTACTCTGCTCTACCCTACTCTACTCTACCCTACCCTACTCTACTCTACTCTACTCTACTCTACTCTACTCTACCCTACCCTACTCTACTCTACTCTACGCTTCTCTACTCTACCCTACCCTACCCTACTCTACTCTACTCTACTCTGTTTCTCTACTCAAATTTACGCTTTGCTACTCTACTCTATTCTGGTCTGCTGTGCTCTGCTTTACTCTACTCTACCATACCCTGCTCTGGTCTGTTATGATTGGGTTCTATTTGTGGGGTAGGGTAGAGTAGAGGCTAATAGCGCTTTAGTATCTGGTATTGTGTCCTAGCAACCTCCCCACCAGTGATGGGAATAACGGCGTTACTAGTAACGGCGTTACTAACGCCGTTACTTTTTTCAGTAACGAGTAATCTAACTAATTACTTTGACAGTAACTATAACGCCGTTATCATTTCCGACATCCCGTTACTGCGCGTTACTCAAGACGCACAATGAACGTGTTGTCATGAGAGAAGGGAGGATGAGAAAACCTCTCAGCAATTATTGGCTGATGTAAATCATATTTCCTTTACAATCTACATGTCTACAGTTGAGAGGATGGCTCATAAATTGTGTTTTTGAAACAAATATGGGTCTTAATCGCGCTCAACCACGGCTTGTATCACCGTGAGGTCAGCCACAGAGGAGCGCATGTGAGCGCAGAAGTCGGCTGCATACAATTCCATCGATAAGCTCCTTGCTCTTCCTGGTTTATCTGCTAAGGACAGCAACAGGTTTGGCTAACATACATATAACACATTTTTACATAATCTAAAATGCACATAGGGTAATTTTTCAATTACTATAGGAATGATAAGAAAGAGAGGTGAAGTGTAAGACGGTTGATTTTAGAAATTGGATGCGGCCGGCTGCAGCAAAACAGAGGAGTTTACGGAGGACACACGCGTTTTGTTTTACTTTTTAAAACTCATTGGACTCATTTCCAAATGGAGGATTACATATCTACGCTCAAACCATTCACTGGATTTAAACAAGGAACTGGTCTGAACCGAATTGGTCTGTGCAGGTCATTTATAAGGTATAGCTATAAGGTAAGACCCATAACTCATAGTTTTGCGTTTTGTATGAACAAACAATGCGGGCATAAAACATATTTTGCTGTAGCCAAACAAATTGTCCACTTGATTTATATGATGTATATGTTCATCTGATTGGACTGAAGTCAGTGCTTCACCAGCCTCACCGCTCGTCACCGGTGTTTAGTGCTTACAGCACAGAGAGATGAAGAGTGAACAGGACTTCAGCAGCAAAACAGCCTTTTCTAGATGGAAATATTGGCACTGTTAGGTAAAAATGCGCACGTCGGGTGCACATTATGTTCCAGAACAAAACGAAAAAGTAACGCAATAGTTACTTTTACTGGTAACTAGTTACTTTTATAGTGGAGTAACTCCGTTAGTAACTCAGTTACTTTTTGGGAGAAGTAACTAGTAACTATAACTAATTACTTTTTCAAAGTAACGTGCCCAACACTGCTCCCCACAACTCCTTGGTAACCATGGCTTCCAGCAACACTCTGTCCAATCCCTGTCATTTAGAACAGGGGTTCCCAAAGTTTTTAGCCCGCGACCCCCATCATAAATGCGCTGCTCCCCCGCGACCCCCCACCTCAACAGTCCTTCCCGTCAATGAGCATGTATTTCCTTGATACGGAGTAACGCAGAGACTCGCGCCACTACTGAGCTGCACTGTCCAGCCCAAAAAAGGAGGCTTGCGTATTTTTACTCACGTAGTGACACAGTGATGGGCTTGGTGGGCTCCCTCCTCAGCAGAAGTGGAGCGCATTTCTTGCGGCTCGCCCTCTCTGTTCTCATACCACGGTAAAGTGGCCCGGCTTTTCGGAGTCAGCGGTAGTAAAGAGGTCCGCACATAAAAAGCGGGCGGCCGCTTTCTGCTGTTACTTTATGCGCTTCATCCCCGCGGCTTCTTTTTTCAAAGTTACTGTAAGTAACAGCATAAAGCAGCCACCCGCTTTTAATGTGCGGACCTCTTTACCACTGACTCCGAAAAGCCGGGCTTCTTTACCACCCTCTTCTACCGCTGCCCTCTCTCCCTCCACTGCCCTCTCTCCCTCTCTTCGCACCATCAGCCTGACCTCACATGTGACTTTTCTCCCCCTCCGGGTTTTTCTGTTGTGGATATTAACCACGTTTCATTTTAAAGCAGGTATTATTTGTTTGAAGCCTCCAAACACCTTTAGTTTTAGCAAACAACAGCTGGACATGCTTTGTCGCTGCGTGACGTAAGCTGCGTAACTTGATTTTGATTGACGCTGTCAATGACTGGACAAAATTACAAACGTAATTTAAATATTTTATATTCTCCTAACACAATTTAACAAGTAGTCCTTTTGAATCAAATCAAATGCTAAATCAATATTTAAGGGCTATTAATTAGCAAAATGTTTTTTTTTTTTTTTTTTTTTTTTTTTTTTTTTGGCAAATCATCTTGCGACCCCCCCCCCCAGGGGTTCCCGCGACCCCCCGGGGGGTCGGGACCCCCACTTTGGGAACCACTGATTTAGAACACTTTAGTACCAGCTCGGCCTGGATAGAACCAGGACCAAGCAGGTATTTAAAAAAGTACCTGGTAGCGGTTCAGTAGAGTGGAGCAGGCTTGGTGGAAGCTGGGCTTTAGTCTTGTGTTTGCTAACATTGCCATTTTAACAAACTGATTTTGGTTGTTAGTCATATTCACCAGTTTAGTACTCAACAGGTAAAGTACAGGTAAAAAAACCCAATACAATACATCTGTCAAAAAACTAAAGATTTTTGTGTAATTTTCTCAGAATCTCATTGGTTTGAAAAAAAAACAGTCAACATGAGATGATATAGTTTTTATGGTATATTATTGAAGATATTGTATTGTCTTGATGTCTGTGTAATTGTATCTTTGGTAAATTCTGTATTTAAATGTTTTTCTCTCGTTCCTTGGATTAGAGATTATCCATTGCCAAAGAGTTCGGGGACAAAGCAGCCGAGCGACGCGCCTACAGTAATCTGGGGAATGCTCTGATCTTCCTCGGACAGTTCAACTCTGCCACAGAATACTACAGGTGACACTGACACCTGGTGGACACTCACGGTCACTGCATCTCAAACAGCTTTTTTTTTTAAATCACCATTTCTGATTTAAATCCTGAAAGACTGTTGTGTTTGTAGGAAAACACTGCAGCTGTCGCGGCAGCTGAGGGACCAGGTGATGGAGGCTCAGGCGTGTTACAGCCTGGGGAACACGTACACGCTGCTGCAGCACTATCAGAAGGCGGTCGAGTACCACCTCAAGCACCTCTACATCGCCCAAGAGCTCACAGACCGGTACACACTCACCCCTCCCACTTATCTGTGTACACACTGCAAAAAATGATACAATATGAGGTAACAAAGGCTTAAATTTAGTGTTTTAATCTCAATCTGACACATTCTCCAATGGGACAAAAGCCATTTAGCTTTATTTCAAAAACTGTGGCTTTGTTTTCTTATTGCAAGAAAGATCAGAGAGGGAGAGACCAGAGAGGGAGAGACCAGAGAGGGAGAGACCAGAGAGGGAGAGACCAGAGAGGGAGAGACCAGAGAGGGAGAGACCAGAGAGGAGAGACCAGAGAGGAGAGACCAGAGAGGGAGAGACCAGAGAGGGAGAGACCAGAGAGGGAGAGACCAGAGAGGGAGAGACCAGAGAGGGAGAGACCAGAGAGGGAGAGACCAGAGAGGGAGAGACCAGAGAGTAGAGAGATAAAAGATAATTTTGCTTCGTCCCATTGGAGAATCTTGCTTTAAGGCTCACTCAGAATGTGCTCAAATTCAGACACATTTGGCCAAATTTTAGCTATTTTTTAACGTATTCTTCATCAGTTTCTGCAGTGCCGTGTTAAACCACAACAGCAGTCGTCTTGAAGGACTTTAAAAGGGTCAGATTCAGATCAGATTTTTGCAGTTAAAGTGACAGTAGCTTAAAGTCCATCTGTTCCACTGTCCATAAAAACAGATAGAGATTAGGAGATGCTTTATTTTTCCCACTGTGGGGAAATGTCAGTGTTGCATCATCAGTTACAGGACAGCAGGAATGAGGAGCACACAGCACATAAAGGAACAATAACTCTAAAATATCTAACTAAAGTATAATGAAGAAGCAAAAATAAAGTACTGTATATTCTAGTGCAGAAATATATAGTAGCATCTGTTCATTAGCAGCTTTAGAAAATGGATGGATAGTTGAAATTATCGCACATATACGTCGTGATTTGAACAATTGTTTCTGTTTCTCTGCCCCGTGTCCAGAGTCGGAGAAGGTCGAGCTTGTTGGAGTTTGGGGAACGCGTACGTCTCTTTGGGAAACCACAAACAAGCGCTGCACTTTGCCCGGAGGCACCTGGACATCTCCAAGGAGGTGAGGCGGCCATTTTGAGGAGGTTTCTGATTTTTTTGGCCTTTTCAAAGTCTTCACAATGATCTTTGTTCCGTGTGACCCGCCTCAGATCGGAGACAAGAACGGAGAGCTGACGGCCAGAATGAACGTGGAGCAACTGATGGAGGTTCTGGGCATCAACGAGAGCGACCTGTCCCCCTCCAGCTCAGAGTTCGAGATGCAAGGTCAGAGCTTCCACCGCAGTCAATCTGACAGCTTTTAGCTCACGTGCACTGCAAAAAATGATAAAATAATTGCTTGAATTGAGTGGTTTTATCTTAATTTTAGTCTCATTCTGGATTTGAATCAATTCCTTATTATGTGTATTTTAAACAAATTCTTACTTTTAGTCCAACAAGGTTCATTTGGTCTTCCATTATGATTCTACTAGAGTCTGTATTAAACTTGAGTTGAATGGAATTGAATCTACCAGTTGGTTCTTTTAAGACCAGAGCTGTGTAAAAGAGCTAAAAAGCCAATTGCCAAAGTATTTTTGCTGCGTGGGTTAGTTTTTCTCTATAACAGGGCAGACATGTTGCTAGGACGGTTGCTATGGCAAGCTGGTGTTTCCTCTGCGAATGAAGACAACGGATTGGTCAATCCTTATATGGCTCAAAACTGGATTTACAAAGACAATATCAAAATAGAAACACCATAACACCATAATCTTTGTAATTGTTTCATTTTTTAAATCAAAAATGTTGAGTGTGACGCAAACGGTTACTGAGTTAGATGAGTTTACTTTTATCTGTAAGTCAATAGGAGCCAGAGAGAGATGGAGCTAAACTTGGTCCCCGAGCACTTCCCTTTTGGGCTTCATTGAGCTAGCAGGTTAGCATTGTCCATCTGTATACAGTCTATGGCGCTGGTTTACAGATGTGTCTATGTTTTAGGAATGATTACAAATGTCATGTTGGGTCCAGAGCGTCTCCACAGTCTCCAACCTGGCGCCCGCTCAGGCCGAGTTACTCACGTCTCTCGTTCTGACTAAACTTTCATCACGACGGTGTCAAAAACCCGAGTCTGTTCTTGTGATTCAGCAAAGTAACATTCAAAAATTCTCCCTCACAGGTGCCAGGCCCAAACTGAGCAAGATAAACAGCATGGAGAGTGTGGAGCTGTGGAAGTTATCAAACAAGGTACACACTCTTCATTACATTTAACAATCTACAATTCAACCTCATAACCAACAAACTATACTCAGAATGTATAAATCTACTTTTATTTTACTGTTTTACAACGTCCTGCTCAGGGACTACAGGTGAAAATACAGATGCAATAGCTACAAAGAATCTCTGCTTTTAGCTAATGTTTGTCAAAAACACTGTCAAAAACATAACAATTATAATAAAGCATCAGTTTTATACAGAGCTTTTCTGGACGCTCAAAGTCTATTCACAGGTCATTATTCATTCTCTCCAAACACGGTGGTGATAAACTCCTACTGTAGCCACAGCTGCCCTGGGGCACACTGACAGAAGTGAGGCAACCAGTCTGTGCCATCAGCCCCTCCCGTGGTGGCAACAACCATTCACACACACACCAGACTCATTCTAATGTGGGGGAAGTGTCTTGCCTAAGGACACAACCACAGTTTGGCACTTTACAGCCGCAGCCGCCCCACTGTGGCATCTGTGTTCTCAGAGGTCTCCCATCACAGTACCAAACAGGTCCTGTCCTGCTTAGCTTCAAGAATCTGGTAGGATCTGGCTTCTGCATGCAAATATGACTTACTGGAAATGTAAGGAAGCAGGACATTCTCAATACATTTCTGGAATGTTTTGGGTACATTTCCGTGGGAAGTTCAGCTGGGGAACCTTGAGAAATATTACCTATTGAGAAAAATAAATAAAATGTCCCTCTCCCTCCAAAACATCCCACATTAAACATTCTGTCTTATTCAGCTTCTCATTATCAGCTCGCTCTCTTCTACACGAATACATTTATTTGTGGTAATTACAGTTTAAACATTTCAAATCCATATACATCTCTATTATCATCAACACTGTTTAGTCCACAGCCTCAGATCTGGCTTCAATATTTTTTTACTTTGGGCTCAAGAGTGTGAAAAGTCTGCTTCATTCTTCCACAAATCTCTTGCATGTGATGGAGGCTTATGGCCAGTAGGGGGCATGGTCTCAGTAGCAGTGTGCTGTGTGGCTGTGACTGAGGAATAACCTGGATATAATTGAATGGCTTTTGTTTGTTTTTGTACCAATTATGTTAAAATTTACAATCCTCAACTATATTTAAGTTCTTTATGATCAAGCAAGACCTTCAATTGTAAAAAATCCCAGTTTATCCCTGTGTTTTCCCATTAATTCCTGTGTATTCCCAGTCTATTTGTAACAATCCGTGATGTTTGCAGAATGGTGAGAATGCGGAAGGTTTGCCGCGGAGATCCAAGAGCCATCAGACCCAGTCCAACAAGAGGAAAGGTTATGCCGACAGTCAGTCCTCAGATGAACGTCTGTGGCTCGACTCGCCATTGGACGCCGATGACATCACTGTGCAAGTCCCGCCCCCTCTGCCGGTAAGTGCTGCTTCTCACTGTTTAAAGCAGGTCTGCGCAAACTGAAGCCCGGGAGCAGATGGCAGCCGTCTGTGTGGTTGTATGTGGCCCTCTGCCCGGTAGACTTTGAGATTATAAATTCAGTGTCATACAGCCAACTTCAGCTCCATCATCGCTAATTTTAAAACCCAGAACAGCCCGAATCCAGTCAAAATAGTTTCTACAAGCAGTGTCGTGTGCGTCTTTTCACAAGTCTGGTTAGTCTGGCGGCACGGTGGCTGAGTGGATAGCACTCTCGCCTCTCAGCAAGAAGGTCCTGGGTTCAAATCCCGGCCAGACCAGGGCCTTTCTGAGTGGAGTTTGCATGTTCTCCCCGTGTCTGCGTAGGTTTCCTCCGGGTACTCCGGTTTCCCCTACCACTAAAAATATGTCCAATAGTTCTGGCATGTGCCTCCTGTACTGGCCCCGCTCCCATCTCTGTGTGGAGTGAGAGACAAATGCCCAAAATTAACAATTGTAAACCGCTTTGAGACTCAGATCTGCAGTGAAAAGGCGGTATATAAATAAAAACTTACTTACTTACTTAACGAAAGTGGTTCACATTATTTTACAACTGAACCAGCATTTTGATTTTATGGGAGTGTAACTTTTAACTATCGTGCTTAAATCCAGGCCAAATGTAAAAGATAAAAACAAAATACAGAAAAATGGACTATCGCTAATACTAGGCCTGTCCAAACTGAGGCCCGCGAGCAGATTGCGGTCCTCTGTGTGGTTGTATGTGGCCCTCTGCCTCGCTAACACACAGTAGACGTATTAGTAGATTTCAAGTTCACAGTGTCATCCAGCCAACTTCAGCTCAGTCAGTATAGACGTGCAATACCCGGCTGTAAAGATCAGAACCTGTAGAATCCAGTTGTTTACTTTGATAGTGTCACAACATTCCGTGATTGTTGCTAATGTCGCTGTGGTGCGATAGTTAGTTAAGTCAATATGGATGTAGCACATGGCATAGAACCAGTCCATAAATCCAGACAAAGTAGGTCTCCGGGTTCAGACTGGACTCGGCTGAGGAAATGGGTGGAGCCTGGTGTGTGCTCTTACTTGGTTGGAATGAAAACCTGTAGCCACACTGGCCCTTTTGAGGAGCAGATTGCCTGAGTTAGATAAACGTCTATACATTTACATTTCACTCAAAGGCAAGGCAGTTTTCTTTATACACTACAAAAAATCCTAAAATATGAGGTAATAACTTTTTGCTTTGTCCCATTGGAGAATCTGGTTTTAAAGCTCAGTCAGAATGTGCTCGGATTAAGATGGTTTAGCCAAATTTGAGCAATATTTGACTAATTTTTCATTACTTTTTGCAGTGTATTGCGCAGTTCATGCCAAGGCAACTCAAAGTGCTTAGCAAAACAATAGAAAGCAATACAATCATAAATAATTCATAGGAAAATGCATAAGATTTTCTCTCCTTTTCGAGTTTTGAATGAGTATTGTGCAGTATTGTAAACGGATGATTTTCTGGAAAGTTCTATGTAGTGACGTCTGATAATTCATATTTGATGTACATCGAACTTGAAATAAACACTTTAAAGAGTTATACCAGTTTCTGCAAGGTTTGAATCTTTAGCCCCGCCCCCAACTCGCTCACAGGCTTCTCATTTCCCCCACGCTCTCGTCCCACGGAGCCATCTAGTTTTATTTGCCATCTATATGCTAACGTTAGCATTAATTAGCATTAGCGCAACTTATTGTAAGCTGTACAACAATCACTGATGAAGTGGTACAAAAGCGACGCACTGCTAACACAATATATAACTGAAAGATTACCGCTAGTTTCACGTCCGAATGTGGACCGGGCGTAGATAGTCCAAGCGTAGATAGTCCGAGCGTAGATAGTCCGAGCGTAGATAGTCCGGGCGTAGGTAGTCCGGGCGTAGGTAGTCCGGGCGTAGGTAGTCCGGGCGTAGGTAGTCCGAGCGTAGATAGTCCGAGCGTAGATAGTCCGAGCGTAGATAGTCCGAGCGTAGATAGTCAAAGCGTAGATAGTCCGAGCGTAGATAGTCCGGGCGTAGGTAGTCCGGGCGTAGGTAGTCCGGGCGTAGATAGTCCGAGCGTAGATAGTCCGAGCGTAGATAGTCCGAGCGTAGATGGTCAAAGCGTAGATAGTCCGAGCGTAGATAGTCCGAGCGTAGATAGTCCGGGATAGTCCGAGCACAGATAGTCAGAGCGTAGGTAGTCCGAGCACAGATAGTCCGAGCGTAGATAGTCCGGGATAGTCCGAGCGCAGATAGTCCGAGCGTAGATAGTCCGAGCATAGATAGTCCGAGCGCAGATAGTCTGAGCGCAGATAGTCCGAGCGCAGATAGTCTGAGCGCAGATAGTCCGAGCGCAGATAGTCCGAGCGTAGATAGTCCGAGCGTAGATAGTCCGAGCGTAGATAGTCCAAGCGTAGATAGTCCGGGATAGTCCGAGCACAGATAGTCCGAGCGTAGATAGTCCGAGCGTAGATAGTCCGAGCACAGATAGTCCGAGCGTAGATAGTCCGAGCGTAGATAGTCCGGGATAGTCCGAGCACAGATAGTCCGAGCGTAGATAGTCCGAGCGTAGATAGTCCGGGATAGTCCGAGCACAGATAGTCCGAGCGTAGATAGTCCGAGCGTAGATAGTCCGAGCGCAGATAGTCCGAGCGCAGATAGTCCGAGCGTAGATAGTCCGAGCGCAGATAGTCCGAGCGCAGATAGTCCGAGCGCAGATAGTCCGAGCGCAGATAGTCCGAGCGCAGATAGTCCGAGCGTAGATAGTCCGAGCGTAGATAGTCCGAGCGTAGATAGTCCGAGCGTAGATAGTCCGAGCGCAGATAGTCCGATCGTAGATAGTCCGAGCGTAGATAATCCGAGCGTAGATAGTCCGAGCGCAGATAGTCCGAGCGCAGATAGTCCGAGCGTAGATAGTCCGAGCGCAGATAGTCCGAGCACAGATAGTCCGAGCGTAGATAGTCCGAGGCGGTCCCGCAGGTCTCTCCCATAGACTCCACCGGCTGACTAAAATGTACCACGTATCCGTCCGAACGTGTCTGTTTCTGTTTTCTCCATGAGGGTGAATGGAAGTGGCTCCACTGCAGCGACGAAAAAGAAACAATCCTTTTTTTTTTCATCCGTCGAAGCGTGTATGGTCCGTTTTTCACTGGAAATACAATGGAAAAATATATTTACTACATTATACATGTATTGATATATTCTGTAGTCCTTGGTTTGTTAATGACAATGATTATTAACAAATAATAATTGTTTCCTGATCGTAAATCTACCGTTTATTTTTCGCGTAATGTTAATATAGACTCGCTTTTAAAAAAGCCTGGATATGTTGGAGTTCTTTTCTCTTTTCCCTTTTCCAGTTACTTTCAATAAGTTGTGCCTCATCCATCGCAGCGTCGTCGATGCTTCAATGTGCCGTGCTTTGCATAGATCAAAGCCACAGCTCATGCAAATCACACACCGTTTCTTCTATTTAAAACAAAGCCTCACTGATAAACGCAAAGCCAGAGCTGCTGAAGCCGGTTTGGCCACTATTCCATTTTACGGACGTCTGACGGGCAGCAGCCAACGCGCGTAAACGGAGATGCGGTCGGTGGAGTCAGCACTAAAGTCTCTCCAGCGGATACGATGTAAGCTAGCTCTGTTCAGGGCATGGTTTCTTCTTTGATCATGTTTTGGCTTTAGTTCCCTCTTCTCTTCCTCACTGTTGTGTGGTTTGGGCTGTTTTGCTGAGTCTGCAGTTACAGCCAGAGGAGTTATAGCCACTTATGCTAACATGCTACTGTGTTTAGCAGCGCTGTAGAGGCTAGAGGACGCTCCTCGTTCTGTGATTGGAGGAGAGCGGGCGTCACGCTAAGTCTCTACTCAGCACTTTTTACGGCCTGAATTCATACACAGCTGAATCAATGAGCTCAAGTTTTCAATTAAATTACGGAAAATATGCAACTTCTATGTAGTAATACGCATTTTTATGAACTCATTCAAAAAAATATCGGGTGTAGCTTCTTTAAGATGGTTTTAGCCAAATTTGAGCAATATTTTAGTCATTTTTCATTACTTTTTGCAGTGATTAGCACAGTTCATACCAAGGCAACTCAAAGTGAAAACAAAACAAGAAACAAAACAATTCAAGGCAATAAAATCATAAATAGTTCACAGGGAATTTATAAGATTTTCTCTCCTTTTCGAGTTTGAATGATGTGCAGTATTGTAGAAAGTAATTTTAAACTTTGCTTATTTGCTGGAAAAATCTGTGTCGTGACGTCTGATTATTCATATTTGATGAATTTACAGATTTCAGAAATGTGTATATAACATGTATTTAAAGTACAAGAGCAGTGTCACATCAGAAAAACACAACATTACTTTCCACGAAGGAGAATCTGTAACTCATGAATCCAGTTACTCCAGATGTTTTTAACTGATCTAATTAAAAATACAATTATTCATTTCCTTTGGTGGGAAATTAAAGAAGATTCCTGGGTCTCTCTCTTCTCTGCACCTGGAGCTGTGTCTCTGGCTTTATCTCAGAAATGACACGTTAAAAGTATTGTATCTTAGTTACTAGTGAATGTATTTAAAACCCACACGTCCTGTCGTTATGGATTTTAGTCTCATTGATTCAGTGAACTACATACAAAAGTAAATCGTTGAAGTGGAAATGTCGATAGAATCCAGTCACATGTTTTCGTCACACACTTTGTTTCATGATAACGATCTATTCAGAGCAAAATGTGTCCAGTCTGAGCTCTATCGATATTTAAAACACTAAAACCATTTCTGAGCCTGTTACAAATGTGTTATACTTTTGACTGTTGAAGATGCGACACAAACGGCAGATACAAAATGTTAGCGCCGGATGCTAGCGCCAGATGCTAGCACCAGACGTACAGTTGTGCTGGATAGCTCACACCCCCCTCCCCCTCCCCCCCTCCGCAGGCTGAAATGTCATTGTTTGGACCATAATTCAGAGATTACGAA